TACAATCAGTGTTCTCTAGCTTTAAGATCCGGGTAACAATGGCCTTGTAGAATGAGTTAGGAAGTGTCCCTCCCCTTCAGAATTAATTCTCGTGTAATTCTCCCTTAGATGTTTGGTAGAATTCACCAGTGAAGCCATCTGGTGCTAGATTGTTCTTTGCTGGAAGTTATTTGATTACTGACTGATTCAATCTCCTGACTTGTTATAGGTCTATTCAGATTTTCAATTTCTTTTTGAGTCAGTTTTGATAGCTTTTGTACCTCTAGGAACCCATCCATTTCATCTAGGTCCCCATTCATTTCATCTAGGTCATCCTACTTGTGTGTGCAGTCCTCCACGGTAGCATGTTAAACACATGATCATTTCTGTGAAGTGGGTGATTGTATGTGGATACTGAAGGGTGGTTCTCAGTGTCCCAGATCACCCAACTACTTCCATCCCAAGGGTCTCAGGAGGAGCCATCAGATGTGATGAATGTCTATAACTGGTGGGCCTCTCAGCCTCTCATCCTCATCCTCATCACTCTCAGGACAAGGTGGTAGTGGTGTTCCAGGTTTGGGCTCTGTCATGGGGATTACTTGAGTGTGACACCAAGAACCAGAGAAGACTTTACAGGTTACTAACTGTGCAGCAGGCTCCTGCCGTGGGCTTTCCAGGCACTGACTCCTGACTCCTCACAACAGCCCTGTCTTCTGGGTGCTACTACCATCCCCATTTCACAAATGGAGAGACTAAGGCTCAGAGACCCAAAGAACCTATCCAAGGTCACACAGCCAATCTGAGCCTATATTTGAGACCAGATTGGCCCATCTGTGGGTACTTTGACAACTATGCCATATATAGTCTCATCCTTTCCAAAGGTAAGTACCTCAGAAAGGGACAAAGGCTGAGTATTTCAAGCTCCAACTTCTCCCTCTGTCCCTGAAAGGCATAATAGAGCTAAGCCCCCCGCACCCTCCAAGTACTTAAGGCAGAAGACAGCTTCCATTTGTTGTCTCACAAAGCAGCAAATAACCCTCCACCTTTGCCCAGGACATGAAGGTTACAAACCAGCAGGGAATATATACATAGCTGCTCATATATGTAAAATAATTTCTGGAAGGGTCCACAAAACTTGGTAGTGGTAGTGTCCTCTGAAGAGGTGAACTGGGGACAAAGATCAGGGGCTGGAAGGAGACTTATGTCCTGCAAAACTTTTTTATTTTTTAATTGCAGGGGGGGGCTTTAAATTGGTGGATACATATATTTTTAAGTGCCTGACATCCCTGAGAGGGGCAGGGTGGGGCTCAGGGCATTGGCCCACTCGGGGCATGGCGTCTCAGCTCAAAATGCCAGGGCTCACACCCAGCCTCAGACTCAAGAGGACGTCAGGCTGGGGAGTGAAGGACCAGGGACTCTGGCTATGTGATCCTAGCAGCTCCTTGGCCTCTCTGCATCTCAGACTTCTGCACAGTACCAAGGTGGAAATGCCTCCCCCAGAGAAAGCCCTAGGCCAGCAGAGTGCCTGAATGATGCACACTGAGAAATACTTTTTATTTATTCCTGTTTACTTAATGTGTTGATGTTATTATCAGAATAGCTTTACCTCACCATCAACTACAAGCCCAGTCTCCTTGGGCCGACAAGTCAGAGAGACTGGGGTGAGAGTGCCCCCTGGTGGACACATTCTAGACTGCACTGGGTAAGTGCCAATCTAACCCTCCAGGGAAAGGCAAAATTTAGTTCCATTTCTTCTGTTAGCCCTAGATCAATGTTTGCGTCTTAAAAACAATGATATACCCCTACAGAACAGCATAATAGTCAAAGAGAGAAATTTTAACATCTAGAGAATACCGTTCTCTAGTCCCCACAGTCCATATTCCCGTTGCCGGTCATCCCTCCGGTGTCTTTCATAGCTCATTGCTTCCTGGTCCAAGACCCCACCAGGGTCTCTGTGGCCTTTGATTACCAGCTATCTCTGCTATCCTTTAATGCCAAGCCATTTCTCAACCTTTCTGTATCTTTCATGACCTTGACATCGTTAACATCCGGGTCAGTTATTTGGCAAAATGTCCCTTTATAAGGTCATATCTGCCATTTCCTCTCAGCTCCATTCAGGATCCCTGTTTTTCTGGGTCCTCAGGGGTCACAGCACAGGGCACATGATGTCAGTTTGTCCCAATACTGGTATTAATCTCACCACCCTGTCGGTGAGATTGGAGAAACTGAAGAGGAGCTGAGACTTGCCTCAAAAGCCAGGCTCCCCAGCTCAGGATAAATATTGCCGGATGACAAATTCATCACCACCTGTGCCTGCTCAGGACAAAGCACTGGCCTTGATGACGCCATCCTGACCAGTCTGGTTATCTGGAGTGTCCCTTTCTGCGTCATCCATTCCTTTTTTTTTTGTAAGAAAAACAGTTTTTAGTTGTCAATGGACCTTTATTTATTTATATGTGATGCTAAGAATCAAACCCAGTGCCTTACACCTGCTAGGCAAGTGTTCTGCCACTGAGCTACAACCCCAGGCCCCTATTAATACTTTTTATACCACAAATGGTATGTGATTACATTACCCTTGTTTTTTTTTTTTAAGTGTTCACCAAGACTAATATCTTCTTTGAAAATTCCATCTTCCAGGTCTCCGGATTCTCCAGAAGTAACCATATTTTTTAGTTTGCTATGTGTTTTAGTCAGCTTTTTCACTGTGTCACTAAAAAGACCTGACAAGAACAATTAAAAGGGGAAAAGTTTATTTGGGGGCTCACGGTTTCAGAGGTCTAAGTCTACAGACAACCGGCTCCATTCCTTGGGACTCAAGGTGAGGCAGAACATCATGGCGGAAAAGTGTGTAAAGGAAAGAGGCTCAGGACATGCCAAGGAAGCAGAAAGTATCTCCACTTGCCAGATTAAAATATATATCCCAAAGGCACACCCCTAATGCCTACCTCCTCCAGCCACACCCTAACTGCTCTCAATTACCACTCAGTTAATCCCATCAGGGGATTAGTTCACTGATTGGGTTAAGACTCTCATAACCCAATAATTTCACCTCTGAATCTCCTTGCATTGTCTCACACAGAAGCTTTTGGGGGACACCTCACATTCAAACCATAACGATGAGGATATTTATATTTATACCCCACAAACGGTAACACTGTATAATTCCATATTATAGAAATTTCTTTGGCAGGATTTAGAAATGAATTATTTTTTATTGCATCATCATTTTCCAACATGTAGATATACACGAGGTCATTTAGCTGATCCCCTATTGATGGACATTTAGGTTGTTGTCATCATTTTGCTGTTATGACACCTTTCAGCAAAAACACATGATCGTGGGCTTCTCTGAGGGAATTTCCTACCTCTAGAAGCCTGGACCACTTTTGAGGTAGCAGAGTCCCTCCATCAACTCCTCACCCAAGGGGACGAGGAGGGCCCGATGGACTTTTATTCCTGGAACCTATTAGAATTTTAAGGTTCCTGTGAGCAGGACTTCTGTGAGCACCTGGGCTAGATTCCCATCATGTGTGTCAAGGAATCTTAGGGTTCCAAGATGGCAGGGAAGAAGAGAAGGAGCTGCGCTAGTGAGACCCTCACCCCTACCCCAGCAAGAGTACCCTGGTCTTTATCTGGTTTTCTATTCAGTCTTTGAACAATTTTATTTTTTTTTCAGCTGTTTTCAAATCCAGAAACCTCTGATTGGGTCTGACCCATAGCTGGCTCGGGTGTCCCTTCGGCACCATGTCATCCGGATCTGCTTCTGGCAGTGCAGCCTCTAGTTCCAATGGTGTTGGTGACACCACATGACCCGTACTAGGCTCCCACTGGCAAACTCAAGAGAGGCGTCTGCAGGAGCTACCCTGTGCCATCAGGATTGGCATCTTGGTGTGTTTTTAGTCTTCTCTCTTGGGTCCCAGGATCCAGGACTGCAGCTACATCCCTAGCACACCCCTCCTCTACCCCTGCAGAGTTGTGCATGGACTCACACTTGGTATCAGAGAGATCGTTAAATACACATTGCTGGGTCCCAAATAGGTTCTGAATGAGCGGATTTGGGGGCAGCCCAGGAATATGCATTTTTAAAGCTTCCCAAGGGGACTCTAGGAGGTGGTTCAGATTTCTGCCCTGAAGACAGCCGGCTTGGCTGGGCTCTGTCCCTTCCCTAGCAAGTCTCAAATCTGGCCCTTTATGAGGTGAGGAAGTCTAGAAAGTCACTTATTCTACCTAAAGTTTTCCTGGACAGTGGGGCTCTCTGCATTAATTAAAACCTGGAGGAACTTTCAGCCAGCCAGGATTTCCCAAAGTGGAGCCTTCTCTGTGCTAGAGAGCTTGTTCAGAAGGCTCACCCCACATCTGCAGGAGCTGAGTCACTGCAAGTGAGGTCTGGGAATCTGCAGCTCAGGCACATTCTCTGGGTAAACAAACTCCCTCCACATCCCCAACAGACAAGAGAAACTGAGGATCAATAGTAAAAGTAAGGCCGAGCGCTGTGGTGCACGCCTGTAATCCCAGCGACTCAGGAGGCTGAGGCAGGAGGATCGCGAGTTCAAAGCCAGCCTCAGCAATGGTGAGGTGCTTAGCAGCTCAGTGAGACCCTGTCTCTAAATAAAAAATAGGGCTGGGGAGGTGGCTCAGTGGTCAAGTGCCCCTCCGAGTTCAATCCCTGGTACCAAAAAAAAAAAAAAAAGTAAAAGTGAATTGTCCCCAGTCATGATACACATTAGTAGTAGAAATGGTGTAGCCTCTGAATCTCCTCTTAGCTGAGTGTCAACTCCTCGGAACTCTCTGACAATCCAAGGTGTCTGCAGGCTCTTGGTCATCTGAGATGCCCCACGTGGCTGCCCTGGGATAGGCCTCTGCTATATTTGAAAAGACTTCAATTTCTAATCCAGTGGAAACTATCTGCTTTGGCCAGGCCCCTATGTGTCTGTGTGTGTGTTGGGCAAATATTTGGGCTATCCATGCAAACCTCCCTAACTTAGAAAGATTTCAGAAAGACAGACAGGAACAATGTGTACAAACAGAACCCCACTTTATTAGCAGTTAGTTCGAGATTGTACATTAATGGAGGAAGGTTCCCACTTTTAACACAACCCAAAACGGCTGGTTCGAGAGCCCTCGTCAGGTGAGCCAGGTAGCATTCCCTGGCCTACCCTCTCCCCACCCCCACAAGGGAAGAAAACCTCTGCCTGCTCCCTAATGTGCCCCCCACCCACTCCAGTCAGCCCTCTCCTGTCCCCAGGGAACAACATGAATTTCATGCACACATTACAAAAGGAGCCCTCTTGTGGATGAGAGAAGCCAGGCCAGCCCAAGATGCCCCGGCCCTCACCCTCCTCCAGGGCAGAGAGAGGAGTAAGTGCAGGAAGATGAGTGTCTTAGGAGAGAGCACAGCTGAGGTCTTCCCCAGGTCCTTGGCACTGACTATACACCAAGCCCACACCCGTCCCTCAGGGGAGCTGGAAACTCACCGGTCCTCTAAGCAGGAGAGCCTCCAGACCAGGAGGGCAAACCCCACATTGCCCAGAGGGCCTGGGGGTGGGCCTGGACCCCATCCACACTTCAACTCAAGCAGAGCTGCTTCCTGCACCTGTGTTTCAAAACCCCTGCTGTAGCCCCCATGGGCTCATTCTAGAGGTGGGGAAACTGAGACCCTGGGAGGAAGACTGTCATGCAGGCATCCAATGGATGCAGTTAGGATAATATCTCACAGCTCTGCTCCAGCCCAGTGGTCAGTCCTCATACCACAACTTAGGGAGGAATTTCCCCCAAGGACATTCCTGGTACGGGCCAGAGGCCTAGCTCTGCTCCAATGCCTAAGACCATGGGCCTCCAAGAAGTGAAAACCCTGGGACCACAGAACAGAGAGATGGATGCTATGTCTGGGACCCTGAGGTGCATCCCAGAGTCAAAGGAGCAGCCAGGCTCTTCCAAGCCAGAGACGTCTCATCCCAACAGGCCACATGCCTGGCTGGCATCCATGGTGCAATCACTTCTGCATGCCCTCCGTTCTCTCTTCCCAGGCCAGCATGTGCTGCTTGTGTCCATGGGCACCCCTCCCTGGCGCTCCTGTGGCTCCCATGGCCCCTCTGCTGGTTTGGCACTTGCTACAGGTGATGGTGGAGGTGCGTCTTAGGCAGGAGGGCACTGCCAAGTCAGCACAAAAGAAGGCAAAACCACCCTTGAGAGTACAGGAGATGGGGAAACATCAGACGGATTCTGACAGTGTGACAGTGCGACCTGACAGCAGGCCTGCTGGCCCCCAAAAGGATGTCACTTAAAAAACCAGATGGGCAGAAGGAAGACTTTTCAGCATTCCGAGAGATTTGAAAAACACAGTGACAAAATGCATCATATGCACCTTGATTGGATGCAAGTGCAAAACCAGGTCCGTTATTTGGGGGACAACTGGGGACAGCAGACTGTCAGGAAATGTCCATTTCTTGGCTGTGGTATTGGCCAGTGTGTAGGAGAAGGCTCTGACTTGGGTGATACGGGCAGAAGCATCTGGGGGCAAAGTCTCACAATGCTTGCAACTTACTTTCAAACTAGGTCAGAAAAACACACATATGTAGAGAGAGAGAAAAAAAGCCAATGTGGCAAAATGTTAATCATTTCAGCTCTCAATGCTCGGCAATGGGCATTCATGACCAATGTCTGGTAAAATATTTTTGACCTTGCTCTTCCCACTAACACCTGTGGGATGGCTCCATGTTGAGACCTCAGCCTCAGTGGGTCAGGCCAACAGTTTTCCTTTGCTGGGAGCTGATGGCCACCTCGTAAGCATGACCCAGAGCACCGGCTGCTTGTAGGCAGGGGCTCAGAAAAGGTCCATCTTTAAAGGTCGGACTCCTCTGAACTTTAAATGCAGTAAGATGCTCCAAACAGAAAATTCTCTCGAACCCTGAACGACACTCCACCTGCACCCACCCTAGGGCAAAGGCTGGCAGAGGGACTGCAAACTGGATGACAGAGTTACCAGCATAATTTAAGCTATTTTTCTCTCTCTCTTTATTTTTATGTTTTGCCAAATGCTTACAGTGGACAATGAAGACTGGTGATGCTGCATTTGCTCACCCTGGTTCTGTCTTCTCATAAGGGGGATCAACGCCTATTAGCTGAAAGCCCCTAGGACAACTCATTTCCCTGTCCTTACCCAATAGCTACAAGTTCCGGCTGCGTGTGGCCTGGCAGGTCCTTGAGAAAGGCTTGTTAGTGGGAAGGGACGTGGCAGTCACTAACACAGAAATTTAGAACAGGGGCAGGTCCAGTTCCAGGCTTCCAGAAAGATCTAAGCCAAACTCCAGAATATCTTTTCTGCTCTCATGGGTTTCAATCTGCCTGCTCCTACCTGAGGCCAGAAGCAGAGAGAAGTAGAGCCTCCCACCCCACCAGGGCCATTCCAGGCCAGGCCAGGCCAGGCCAGGCCAGCTTGCTGAGCTTCAGCTGAGAGCAGGCCTCCAGCCCAAAGGGTGTGTGAGCCTCCCAGATCACGGGCCCAATTACCCATGGACAGTTGGGGAGTGATGATCAAGGCTGGCATTGGTGGAAGCCACTGCCCCACTGAGGGTCTAGTTCCAGCTTGTCCCTGGGAACACAGCAGTACAGGAGTAGACAAGCCACCCTGTCCCCAGGCACTGTGCTCCTCAGCCCTGCGGGGCCGACAGGGGCCAGGATTCTCCAGCTCATGGGCCCCAATGAGAAACACGGTGGAAACTCTGTTCTGTCCACACTAAAACCACCACATAGCGGGTCTGCCCAGTGTCCCACTTCCTTCTTTACCCCGTGGAAAATTCGAGAAGAGGGAATCAACTCAGAACAAAGATTGATGGGGCCACAGGATGGGGAAAGACCTCCCGAGATAGAGAGAACAAGGCAGGGAAGTGAATGCAGATCTGGGGATGAGAAGGCTCAAAGGCACCTGGCTGGGAAGGAGTGGTTTGTCCCCATATCCTGGAATGACCACGGTTGTGACTGAGGGAGGGAAAGGAACCTGGCACAGAGTAGCGTCCCAAGGGTGGGCTCAGAGGCAGTGTGGCACTGGAAGAAGAGCACTGGACTCAGATTTGGGTCCCTGAGTTCAATTCTTGGCCCTGCTTCCAACTAGCCCTGTGACATCAGCCAAGCAGGCTATCTGCTTCCTGGACCCACTTTATACCTGCTGAAGGACCCTTCCAACCTCAAGATGCCAGAATCTTCTGAATAAGACCAGGCTCTCCAGAAAGAACTTCCCGGGTGTCAGGTGGAAGCTGAATTGGCAGTTGAGGGGCCAGGGAGAGGCACCTCCCTGGGTGCCTCAGTCACTTCACATTGTTAAAAGAAGGGGGGCAGGAGCAGAACCCAAGCAGAAAGCAGCCCAGAAATCCCAGGTCTGCAGGGGGCCTGGAGACACTCTGTGAGTCCCAGTGGGCACCCCTGCTCCCAGGGCAGCTCCCAACCTAGCACCATGTGAGGGGAGAGGGACAGGCCAGTTTGGGGCCCCAGGTCTCCCACCCTAGCCCCGGCTGTTTCCTTTGGCCACAACCCCACCCTCAGACTCCTGGGCTTCATGAAGCCAGATATCCTAGAGTTAGTCTTCCCTGTCCATGTCACCACCACTGTCCCCCTAGGGCAGGCCTAGGACAGCTGTGGCACTTGAGAGAGGGAACAGAGACCTCTCCAAGGGCACCTCCATACGGTCTCCTTGAGTCCCCAGACACGTGAAGACACACCCTCCCTAACTTCCATCTTATTCTCTAGCACTAAGATATGACATCCTTTGAGGCTGGGGCTTACCACCATTGTGTACGACTGAATTAAAAACAAACCCAACCAAAAAAAATATAATATATATATATACACATTATATATATATATATATATATATATATAAAACACAGTGCGACCCCAGCACCCAGGGTATAAACTCTGGCACCAAGAAAACAAAACCCAAATATTAAAATACTTTAGCTTCTTAGTATTTGAGAGGTTAAGGGGTCTCTGAGAACCCTCGGCCACAGGTGTCTGGGGCAAAGCAGCGGGCGGCAGTCTTGCGAGCTCTGCCATGTCTGCCGGGGCCGAGGCGGTGGTGTGGGGACAAGGTATGTACAGGGGAACATGTATACTGCAGACTCCTCAACAGCCTCCGTCTTTTACCACAGGAAACCACGCTTGTCATTACCCAGGGTGCAGCCAGGGGGCGGGGTTGAGCCGGAGTCTCTGGGCCCACATGGCATGGCAGTGCCCCAGGCCCTGCAGGAGGCCTTGAGGACTGGGTGGATACTGGAGGAACCAGAGATTCCTTCCCCAAAAAGGGAAGGTGAGATGTGAAGGTACTGACCCGAATGTGGCGGATCAGCATTCTTCCAAGGTGGCTGCCCTTACATGCAGCCTAGAGACTGCCCCTGGGTACCCAGCTGACCCCTGTGAAAGGCCTGCCTCAAAACACTCAGAGCCATGTTCAGTCTCTCCCCCTGGGTTGGTGAAAGGCCCAGCTGGGCTCTTCTCCCTTCCTGTCTGGAGAACAGGGAAGATATGGCAGCTAATACTGAGGAGACGCCCTGCTGCAGCAGGGGTGGTGGAGGCAGGAAGAGGGGGTGGTCAGTAGAGCACAGTGAGGGCCAGAAAAGAGTCTCACAGACTCCCTCTACCAGGAAGTGGCCTTCCACCAACAGGAAGCAGCCTCCCAGCACAGGCTGTGCACAGAATGGACCTCTGGTGGAGGGTGGTCCTGTAGGTCACAGACCCAGCAGTGGATGCTCGGAGGTGCTTGTGGGCCTGCCTGGCTTCTCCTGGCCCCACGTGGGCCTCAGCAGAGTATTGCTCATAGAACGCTGCCTGGCCCACTCCCCTCTCTGCAGGTCAGTCTGGCTCAGCGCACGGCAGGACATCCCGCCAACGTTCAGTCTGGCTGTGGTAGCTGCAGCTACCTGGTGTTCTGGAGGTCCTCCCGCAGCCAGGTGGGCAGTGTCTGGCCCATCTTGTACAGCAGCTTGGAAAGCTCGACATTGTGGTCCCGGTAGTAGTCCTTCAGGAAGGCTCGGGACTGCAACAGGAAGGAAAGCTCGGATGGGGCAATGAGCTGAGGTGGGCGTGGGCCCCGCCTTGCTGACCTACTGGCCTACACCATCCTCTTACAGATAGCAGGCTCCCCAGAAGGCCCCGGCACAGGAGCAGCAAACTCTCGCCCACAAGGTCAGAATTCTCATGACAGGGAGGAGAGAGAACTCTTCAAGCCAGAGGCTAAGGAAATACCATGAGATGCAGTCTGCACCCCCATCTTATGCAGTCCTCTCCTATGAGAATGGCTATCCTTCCATTCCATGGCTCCAAATCTTGTGGCATGGACTCCAACTCCAGAGATCTTGCCCATCCTCTGGAAGCCTTCTTCCCCTCCCAACCCCAGCTTCTAGCGCACCCCATCCTGAATGCCCATAGCACAGGATGCACCTCTTCCTGCAGGAAGCTCTCCCTGCCATTATTCTAGCCCTATATGTGACTCATCTCCCCCTGGACTAGGCGTCCTTGAAGGTGACGACCTGTCTGTTATTCTTAAAACCTCATAGCACAGCCCTTAGCAGAAGGGTAGGGTACTGAAAACTTGTTTTAATAGATCAGTTCTGATCCACCATGGCCGAGACTGTCTTCTTCCCCCTTAAGAATACTGCCCAAGGGCTAGGCACGGTCCTGCATGCCTATAATACCAGCAGGAGGATCACAAGTTAAAGGCCAGCCTCAGCAACTTAGAGAGACACCCAGCAACTTAGAAAAACCCTATCTCAAAATAAAAAATAAAATGAACTGGCGATGTGTCAGAGGAAGATAGAGGCTCTGTCCTTTATGGGGACAGCTCCCCACCTGTCCAGCTTCCACAGGTGGGGTTTCTGCCACTTACGTCCAAATCCATCTCTGGATACTTCCGGCCTTTGCTTTTGCCCAGACACTTGGTTTTTCCTCCTTCAAGCAGCTGGCACCAAAATCCTTTCTTTGGATCAAACCTGTAGAGGTGAGGAAAGATTGGATGGAATTGGCCCAGCTATCCCTTCCCCACTCCAAGGCTTTGTGCACAGATCTAGGAAGAGCAGCACCCAGGAGCTAAGGAAGTCCACCCCCCTGTACACATGCTTGCACCCAAACCCACTGTGGAGCTGATATATGCCATCACTTGGCTCAAGTTTTGCCCTTGCGCTACACTAAACACATCCTCACTTCTCCCCATCAGAGGGCGGTCCCGTGTTCTGAGTCTTCTTTTGTTGGGGCTGAGCAGCCCCAGTTCCTCCAGCAATACATAACGTGGACCCATTCCCATCCTGCATGACCAGGGAAGAGTTTTCTGAGCATTATTATTATTATTTTTTTAAGTCAAGAAGTCTTCTTTGGGGCTGGGATTGTGGCTCAGTGGTAGAACACTCGCCTAGCACGGGCAGGACCCGGGTTCAATACTCAGCACCACATAAAAAAAAATAAATAAAGGCATTGTGTAGAGTCCATCTACAAAAAAGATTCTCTCTCTCTTAAAAAAAAAGAAGTCTTCTTACCTGTCCCAACTTCAAGTGAAAAAAGTGTAGGGAAAAGGTTTAGTCTAAGATTTTTGCTTTTAAATAACTTGCATCTTAATTAAGAAATGCTAAGGCATTGGCACTGGAGAGTTTCAAACTTTGGAGTAACTTTCAGAAATGACAGTACAGGACTAACTCCCGTGTGTGACATCATGGTGCCTTCAGGGACCCAATGTGCGCTGAAGCTCAGGAGCCATCAGAGGGTCTTGAGCCTGAGGGCATCAGGCAAGCAGAACACACATGTGGCAGGGAAGAGAGGTAAAGAATTCCGCACGATGACGGGGCAGGCATAAGACGACGATGACAATGACAATAACACTAGCAGTCAGCACCATCTAGCTCTGAGCCAAGAGTGCCACACTCATGCTCTCATCGAATTCAGGGACCCTCAGGAGGGAGGAGTCATACTCCTTAACCCCATCTTACAGGTGAGGGAAGCCAAGCCCCAGGCTAAGGGACTCATCCAGGGTCAGAGCTAAGGATGGGTCTGCGGTCCTGAGCAGGCCTCTTGGACACCAGGGCCCACCCCTGGGGCTGCCGCTGCTTTCGGTTCTGACATGAAGATCTGACTTCCCTTCCCTTCTCCACTTTCAACCTCCAGCCCAGTGAGGAAGGGAGGGAATATTCCTTTTTTTTTTTTTTTTGTACCGGGGATTGAACTCAGGGGCACTCGACCACTGAGCCGCATCCACAGCCCTATTTTGTATTTTATTTAGAGACACTGAGCTGCTTAGCACCTGGCCGTTGATGAGGCTGGCTTTGAACTCGCGATCCTCCAGTCTCAGCCTCTCAAGCCACTGGGATTACAGGTGTGCTCCACCCAGCCTGGCTAGGAGGAAATATTCTTGCTGTAAGATTTCCCAAGAAAGCGCCAGGCAGAGGGCTTTATTCCACCTTCTCTTGGGGCCCCTCCTCCAGCCAAGTGTGTCCTTTCTCTATGACACCGCACTGGAGGCAGCCTCTCCCCCAACCCCCCACCTGGCAGCACAGGGTGGCTCTTCCTCACGGTGAGAAGGCATTCCTGGTGCACTTGCACCAGGTTCTGGGTGAGTGGGGTTACTGGCCACCGACAACAATAGTTCTAGCTTCCTTTTCCTGAAATCATATTATAAGTCAAAATCTAATGTTAGGAAACTCTTGTGGAAATTGGGATTAACACTCTGAAAATGTTCAGCCCAGACAGAACTGAACTGGATACTCCAGGGTGGGCTGACTGGAGCAGAACAGATTCATCACCTCCCTTTTCCTTAAGTTAGTACTTTTATTAATATGATTTTTTATTAAAATAACATATTGATATTAGCTTTCTTGCTGAATGGCCATCAGGGCAGTGCTGCATACTTTCTCAAACTTGCCAACTCTATTAAGTTGTGTCCCCCCATTATTATTCAAGCCTTTGTCTTTTTTGGCCCAGGTGCCAAAAAACAGGGAAATCACCCTGTTGAATGGTCAATACAGTACTCACGCCAAGGTTTTGTGGTAGTCAATGGTATTGGTCACCCCAAGGAATTTCTGCACTGTGTCCATCACTTTGGCAGGTTCTGTTCTTAGCAGTTTGCCATCCAAGACCAGAATCTAGAAAGAACGAAAGGAAGAAAGGTGATCTGGACTTGCTTTCACCTAAAGGGCAAAACAGGATCAGAGGCCTCGACAGCAAGAGTGGCCTGGCTGTGGGTTGGGGTCTGTGCTTTCTAATCTGCCTCTGCCTCCAGCTCTGAATGGCAGGTGTCCCCAAGACTCAGTCCTTTGTGGTCTAACTTCTTGCTCTCTGCCAATTTCCCTTGGCCCATATCAATCTTTCCTAGAATTTAAATGATCAAAAAAACCTTGCTTACGCCAGATGCAGTGGTGCACGCCTGCTACTAGGGAGGTCAAGGTAGGTAGACTACAAGTTCAAGTCCAGTCTTGACAACTTAATAAGACCCTGTCTCAAAATAAAAAATAAAAAGGATTGGAGATGCCAGGCATGGTGGCACATGCCTGTGATTTCAGACTCAGGAGGCTGAGGCAGGATGATCGTGAGTTCAAAGTCAGCCTCAGCAATTAGCAAGGCCCCAAGCAGCTTAGAGAGACCCTGTCTCAAAACATAAAAAGGGTTGAGGATGTGGCTCAGTGGTTAGTGCCTCTGGGTTCAATCCCCAGTACCAAGAAAAAAAGGCAGGGGAGGGGTGGTTGGGGATGTAGTTCAGAGGTAAAGCACCCGTGGGTTCAATCCCCAGTGCCACACAGAACAACCCGGCCTACTCTGTGTATCCCTGTAACCTCCCTCTTCCACCTCTCAACAAGCTTCCAGCCCACACCCCCATCTCCAGCTCCAGACTTCAGGGGGGTTCTCTGAAAGGCCTCATGGAATCTGACCTGTGCCCCTCTCCAGCCAGGCTCTTGCTTCCCCCAGCACACCCTAGCCTCCTGGTCCCAGCTGCCACCATGGCAGAACTCACCCTCCCAAAGGGCAGGGGCAGGGAATTACCTGGTTGGCGTGAAAGGCACTAAGCCAGCGCTCAATGTGGGTGGCATACCAGCCAGGGACCAGGCAGCGGCTCTGGAGGGCACGCAGCTTTGCGGACGCAGCAGGGCCAGCTGTGATCACCTCGTGGAAGGTGTACTTCAGGGCCACTGGGTCATCATGGGCTCGCTGGTGCTGCAGGCAAAGGGGGGAGGTGAGCATGTCACAGGAAGAACCAAAGAGGAGGCCTTTGTGGGACAGCAGATGGGTCATGGTGCTGGAAGATTCTAGCTGGAAGCAAGAGGCCTGTGCCCAAGTCCTGAGTCTGCCTCTCCTCATTGGCTGGCCCCTGGGAAGTACTGGCCCCAGAGTCCTAGTTTCGCCATCTTTGAACAAGATCAAGTTTCCAGCGTTGGTCATTCTCATGTGGTCCCTGAGCCCTGCTGGGCAAGAGGCCACGCCGTTTCCTTTACATCAACTCACCTTTCTTTTTCACATATATTTATTTCAAGAAAACTAAATAACACTTCCAAAAATGGAAAACTGGAATCAATGATTACATATAGAAGGCAACCATTGATAAACACAATAAAAATAAAGCAAAGTTCCTAAACTGGAGGCAAACACAGATGTCTGCTGAGGTCCCTGATCCCTAGGCTGTTGTGAGCAGAGTGTGGCTGTTTTAGAAAGGATGTGAGACCCCTGCGCCAAACTGAGCACTCTGTTTCAAGGAGACCAGAAGAACTGAGTAAAACTGAAAAAGAAAATGCCAGATCTGAGCCACCTCAAATAACCCCAGTGGGCCATCAGCATCTGCAGAACTCTGAGTCCAGAGCGTGGGGACTTGCCCACCAGGCGACGCTCACCAGCCCTGGGCCTGACGAGCACCACAGGCAGCCCAGGGCAGGAGCCGCAGTGATAGTGCAGAGCAGCCTCCTGCTCACCAGACCTCCCAGACACCAGCCTGCCCTCATCTGGCTCCTTTTTAGATCCTCCTGGTATAAGTTAGTCTCCATTACCTGCCTTCATCATGGACAGAGAAAACCAGGTCTTAGATTGACAACAACTGGGTTCAAAATGCCATCACATGAACCTTGCTGAGTGTTAGTTTGCTCTTCTGTGTGAAGGGAACACACACACACATACACACACACACACATACACACACACAAACGAAGCCTTCCTCTGCTTTCTAGAAACTACTGTGAAGCTCCAGTGAGGTGGCAGAAGTTAAGCACTGTCACTAGCATGGGACTAGCTTCACCTCTGACACCCTAATGTCCCCCATGAAAGTGGCCAGCCAGCGCCTTCCTCCTTGCCAGGAGGTGGGAGCACAGGCGCAGCAGGATGGGGATGTGGCCTACCGTGTTGGTGGGACTTTCCCCTAAAGAGTCAGACCACAGGAAAGGCAGAATTAGGGCATGAACCAAAGTCCTGGGGACAAGAAGCAGAGAGGGCTCAGGAAGGGGCAGAGAGGCAAGAGGTCTGAGGGACTCGGAACAGGGAGAACATGGCGCCTGAGCACTGCAAAGACACAGCACAGCTCAATGAAGCAGTACAGAAGCAACCAAGTGAAGAGGACCAAAGGGTGGCACAGAGCCACCCAAAGTGGCCAGATTGGAAAGACAGCTTCCTGGCTGGAATAATGGACACCTCCCCCATAACCACACGCTAAGGCCCAGGGGTCCCCTGACACCACAAATAAATCTGGTCTGCTGGCCTGATGAGGGTGGTCAGGATCCTGGCCTTGGTCACCAAAGGTACTTCTGAATCAAAGCACTTGGCAGCATGGCATAATTCCAGAAAGACTGGCAAGCAGAGGAGGGACAGGCCTGTCCCAGGAGCCCAGGGAACAGTCTATAAGCATTTCTATAAGCCCAGAAGACTGCACTTAAGGAATTCAATCAGGTCATAGAAATGAAAGAAAGCTCTGCCATTTAACATGTCTCCAGTAGAGACTAAGACTCATCCCTCTCGAGATGTCCTGCAATCCAGGTAACTGCTGTCCCTGATCAGACACCCACTAGGAATGGCAGGTCCTGAGCTAGGTACACTGGCACACACCTACAATTCCAGCTACTTGGGAGGCTAAAGCAGGAGGATCACAAGATCAAGGCCAGCCTTAGCAACATAAATTGAGCCAGACCCTGTCTCAAAATAAAAATTTTTAAAGGCTGGGCTTGTGGCTCAGTGGCAGAGCACTTGCTGGGCATGAAGAAGCCCTGGGTTCAATCCCCAGGACTTTCCCTCTGAAAAAGGCAGGTCCTGTGTCTTGTCCTCTGAGTTCCCACTCCCTCCCCACTAGTGTCCGGCAGAGAAGACGCAGTCAGTGTGGCCCGACCACTGTTTGCAAATCTAGACTGCATCAAGGTCTAATCAGCCTCTAAGCCATGTCCATGTCAGAGTCACAAGCAGGACCCTCTGAAGCTCAGGGGTAGACCAGTAACTGGTGCCGCCCTTCAGCATCAACTTCTGCCAGTCACCTGCACATGCTAGAGGCATCATGAAGACAGGCTCTATTCTGACCCATCGCCACATCCACACTGCTCAGGGCTGGCACACAGCAGCATCTGATCAGCATTCGCTGAGCGAATGAACATCAGACAGATCCCAGCCCCCAGGACCTCTACCATGCTCTCACCTGGTACCAGGAATAGGCCCGGTCAGCTGGGTTGATGAGGATGGTGAGGATCTTGGCCTTGGGCAACAGGGCAGCTGCACGCTGGGGCGCCACTTCCGAATCAAAGTAATTGGCGCTTTTCTCAAAGTAGAAGTCGGAGGTGGTATTGGAAGGGATAGGGAAGAACTCCATGTACCTGCAGGAAGCCCAGAGAGGGGTGCTCACAGGCAAGACTCATGAGGAAGGGGCCGCAGGAGAGCAGTGTGAGAGCGAGTGTCCCAGCGGGTAGAGCATCCTCAGAAAGCAAGCAGGGCACACTGCTCCAGCCAAACCAGGACTCGCTGATTCTAGAGAGAATGGTCACCTGGCAGTCTCCCTAGTCAAATTCGTGCCTTTTCAGTGGAGGCTGTGGCATCAGGAGGATCTGAGGATTTGTGGGTGTGATGGGGTTGCAGGCACGGGGTGGGGGTTGTGTCCTTTATCCTAAACTCATATCCTGCCCCAGTGGAGGCTCCCACAGCACAACTGGCAGGCCCTAACTCTGCCTCTAGGGGGCAGGATGGGGCTCAGAGTGGCTCCCCTCTTAGCCCACACAGGACCAGCCCCGAGGGGATGGCTGCCCTCTGGAGCTTTTTTCCTGACCTGGGATGATGTCCAGTCTGTCTCTATGGACCTGGAGACAAAGGGGAGGGTCACCTGCCACCCTCCCCAGTCTGCTAAGCACAATTTTTGAGAATACTGTCCCATATCCTGCCCACAGGGATGACTAAACAAACCGCCCAGACTCCCCCAAGAGCACCTACTCACATAGAATCACGTGCAATTGGGGATTCACAGGAAGCCAAATATTCCCTAATTAAGGGTATAGGTTTTCCATCCCATAAAATGGGGTTTCTCGAGGGGGCCCGAGGACCCCTTTACAGATTGCCTAGAGCTTTTTAGATTCCTGTGCCCCATCTAAGACCTATCTACAGAATCAAAATCTTGGGAATGGGGTCATGGAATCTCCCTCTCTCACTTTTCTATATCTTGATTGTGATACCTACTTTGAGAAAGCTCAGAAAACAGAAGTTTTTGCTTCCTAAGCTATAGCAAAGACATTTGGCAGCCAACTTGGCTTTTCTACTTTACCTGGTAATAAACAGCCACACTTACTACAGACATGCAAATGTACTGCTGCGGGTGCTGCCCCCAGCCCTACTGAAGACTGCTACCTACATGGCTTGCACCATATTACCTTTATTAAAACAAACACAACACTAACTTCCAATAATATATCTGGTCACATGGGGTTTTAGGTAAGAGACTAGACATGTTGAGAGATGTAGAAAGATGGATGGATGGCTGAATGGACACACAGGTAGACAGACAGACAGTGAGAAGATAGGTAGATAAAAGAAAAACACCAAATAGCAAAGGGAAGGCACACAATCTCTCCCTCCAGGCAATCTGTCATTATAATAACACTACATCATGGTCACACCTGTACATACAAGGTTTAAAAAGGCAACAACAGGGAAAGATGCAAACTGAGAAACTAGAGAGTAGAACCAGCCCAAGCTATCCCCCAGTGCACACTGACGGTCACCTCTGTAGAAGGTTCTGGTGGGCAGCCTCCACTTTAACTACCTCCCCAGGTGCCCCCTAGAATTCAGCCAGTGCTTCCAAAGGCCCACAGGAACATCTTCTCTCCACAGTTGGCCACACATGGTGGGAAGGGCCAGTTGTCAGCCAGAGCACTTGGATTTTAGTCCCTGCTCTGTCACCAGCAGACCTTGGGACCTTGTGTGAGTTCCTCCCCTCCTCTGGGACTCAGGATGTTTTGTACAAGCCAGGGAAGGACTCAACCCTGCCTTCAGCAGTCTCTGTCCCAGGCGATAATGCAAAGGGGCAAAGGGCTTCCTCATGGAGCACCCTGCCTGTGACAACACTCCCACCATGACTCAAGGGTCACTGTGCCTTGTCCCTGTTTATAGGAACTGTAGCTGTGTGTGAACAAGCAGCAGCTGCTTCCTGCTGTGGCCACAGTGACCTCCCCACCACCTCTGGAATGGCCTTCCTGTCCTGCTATAGATTGAGAGGCTCACTCACCAGTCAATGCCTCTGTGATAGTTGTGGCCATTAAAAAACTGGATCTCCTCGAAGGTCTCTGAGCTGGGGTAGTTGCTGCTTAGGTCCGGGTGCATGCCCAGGAACAAGTAGAGGGCTGTGGTGCCTGTAGGGATGGGAGGCAGCTGAGCCCACAGCCGAACCCCCAACTCAAGGATGGAGCCTGGGTTCTGGGCCTCGCTCCCCCTTTTCTCTACAAGGACCTGGGAAAATTCCTGCCTTTCTCTGGGTCTTGGTCTTCTTGTCTGTACAAGGAACTGCACTACATCCAGGATGGCAAATACAGGGCCTGCATGTGGACACCCCAACACCTGTACCCTGCAGACATCACTCATCTATTACAGCCTTCTTCATTCCTAAACAAGGGCTTGTCCTCTGACTCCTCCTCACAGCACTCCGACAGCCACGTCCCACTGACTGCTGTCTCCTTAAGAATTAGAACTAGATGCTTTCTGCTGGCCTTTTCTGCTTGAGACCTCTGTCCCCTGGCACTTGGGAAAAGCCCCTGCCCAGGCCCTCCCTGTGTTAACATGGAACTCTGAAGACCCACAAGTTCTGGTTCTGATGCCTCCTGTTCCAGCTCCGCTCCTCCCTCCTCCCTAGAAAGACTCCTCATTCATTCCCTATGGCATGTTTCCATGGTTCATATCTGCAGAAGCATCCAGAAGAGGAGGCCATAGAGTCTGGTGATTGAGAATATGAGCTTTGGGGTCACAGAGATCAGGGTGTGGCACTGTCATTTCCTAACGTGCTGTGTTAGGGAAAACTCAACCTCTCTGAGCTGTAACCTGGGAGTGGTCTTACAGACTCACGTGGGTGGCAAATGCCCGGCGATCATGTCACTGCTCCCTCCCTGCACCTCTGTTAGACACAGCTGACTGGCCACAGCCCACCCTGCACTGGGCCAGTTGTACCAGGTACTGCTTAAACTTGCAGATAAGCTGCCAGAACACAGAGAGAGGTCCCTGAGGCTGCAGTTCAGGACAACCAGGAGAATGCCATGCGCATCCCATCCATCCCCGTCCCATGTCCACACTGATGGGCGATTCACATTCCCCCAAATTTTACTCTCACTTCTGGGGAAGGAGTGGGTAGACTCCTGGGGAGTGGGACCAAGGGAATGTGGTCCCTAGAATTCTGTGGCTGAGATGGCAGGTGTTGGGAGAGGATGGGTGAAGGGTGGGGAGACCTACCTGTTTTCTGGGGACCAATGATGAGGAGCTTTGGGAAGCGGTCACATGTCTTCTCCTTGGACCAGATGTCCTTGTGGCGTTTGTCTTCGCAGGGGTCCTAAAACAACATTGGGAGGATGTGAGGGAAGCCCAAAACCCAGTGAAGAGGCTCCCAGGACCATGTGGCCCTTCCATTGCTGACTGACAGGCATAGTATCTGCATGTGGCCTTGCCACCTCTCACCCCCAGACACTTGGGCTGCAACAGGCAGGGACCATTTCTGGTTAGTCTCACGTGTCCCACAGAGTCTGGCGAAATGCCCAGCTGTATGCTGGACACATAATGGGAACTCACAAGCACTTGAATTGAACTGGACAAGCAGTGTCTGGACCAGGGGTCTGCAAACTCTCCCTGCGAAGTTGGTAAATCTCTTGGTTAGTGTTTGGTAAATATCGTGGGCTTTGGGTACTGTCCAGCTTCTGCTGCAACTTCTCAACTCGGCTGCGAGGGCATGAAAGCAGCCACAGAGAACGCTCACAAGAACGAGCGTGGCTGTGTGCCAGGAAAACTGTCTTTACAAAAGCAGACCACAGGCTGGAACTGGCCCACAAATCAAGGTTTGGGGACCTCGGGTCTGAACTGTTGAGACTGCCACCATTCTCAGGTCTTGCTTTCTATTTTTAACAACCCCCAGGTGCCGACTTTCCCAAGAACTGTTTTCCCCCAAACCCTCCCCGTGAGCTCCCTCCCCGGTGGCTTAGAGCCTGCTGTAGTTAAAGAGGCTGGGAGATGACCTGAGTCTGACCAAGTCAGGGCAGGTGCTGCCCACGCTCCCTGCTCTATGTTCACCCACGGGGCTTGGGGGTCTTTTTACTGAGGGCTTTGTGTGTGCGTGTGTATGTGTATTGCGAATTTAACTCAGGGGAGCTTGATCACTGAGCCACATCCCCAGCCCTTTTTATTTTGAGGCAGGTCTCGGTAAGTTGCTTACGACCTTGTAAAGGCCCTCGAACTTGTGATCCTCCCGTCTCAGCCTCTCAAGGGGTTGTGATTACAGGTGTGTGCCACCACCCCCAGGCTCCACGGTTTTTTTTTAAAGTTGTTCTTTCCAAGGCTGTGTATGAGTATGGATGTGTACAGGTCTGTGGGGAGGTGCACATGTACATATGCGTGCACATACATGTTCCCGAGAGGGAGCATGCCCACACTGGCAAGCAAATGGACACCTGGGGTTCCCTTGGGGAGAGTGTGTGAAGATATGAAGGCTGAGCCCTCACAGCCCTGGAGCATGAGCCTATGAGCAGAAGACTTTCCACCCCTGCAACAAGGCACGAGGCCTCCCTGTCCCCACCTGCCACAGTGGGTCCTTCTCCTCAGAGAATATCTGGAAGTACTTCTGGGCCAGCTGCACAGGTGGCAGCGTCTGCAGTCGCAGGTTGGTCCAGGAGTGCAGGAAGCGCACCAGGTGCTTGAAGGTGTACAGGCCCAGCCGGTCATTCCCGTAGTTGGACAAGTGCGTCATGAAGATGCTGATCTGCTCCAGGGAGGGGGAGAGGGAGGGAGCAGCTGGGTCAGCATCTGAGCCACTTTACCCCCACCTCCGACCTCACCTCTGCCTCACTTTGCAGGGCCACCTGATGACCAGGGCAAGATACCCCAAGGCCACCAACTCAATGTATGGGCTGAGTACAGACAGAGATGAATCCAGGTCTGACTGACCCCCAAGCATTTCAACCCTAAGGTGGGAGGCTGACCTGAGGCAGGAGCTCTGAGTTTTGTCTTGGTAATCACGAGGAGAGGTGTGGAGAAAAGGTACTAAGCTCAGAGAACTGAACAAAACAACCACTTGAGATTTATTTAATAGTATTAAAGTACAGGTGATTATTTCCATTTTGAAGATAAGGAAAGAAATGCCCCGAAAGCTCGAGCAAAAAGGTTTTGTGTGTGTGTGTGTGGGGGGGGGGGGTGCACATGTGCGTGTGCATGCACACATGCACATATACACACAGGAACAAAGACTGGAAAGAGAACAAACACAAAAATGCAAACACGCCAGTATTAAAGTGCAGAATTAGGAAAGAAAGAAAAAGCATGTATATCTAAAAAGAACAACAACAATAAAAGAGCAAAACGAAAGAAAGAAAAAGAAAGCTCCAATCCATTAGTCAAGGTCACACAGTGACCCTGACAGTGCCAGGGCTGGGGAGCAGGTGTCCCAACCTCCAGGTTCTCAAGGCAGCCTCTCCGGTCTTTCCCAGCCAGGGAGGTCCCTGCAGCCAAGGACAGGCCGCCCTGCAGCCTCACTTCCCATCAGCTGCAGACCATGGAGCACTCACAGGATTGAGGAGCACAGTGAGGAAGAGCTCGCCCCCATTGATGATCTTGTCCAGTTCACTGGAGCCCCCAGGGTACTCGTTGTAGAAGATGGTGTGGGTGAAGAGGCCACAGGTCTGCCGTGGGAGGACCTGGGAGGGGATGAGGAAAGGAGCTATGGTACCTCTGGCATGGATGGCAGTGGGAGATGGGGTGGGGTATCTCCACAGAAAGGCAGCCTCCTGTGTGGCCACCAATCCTGGTAGGTACTTGGTCCCAAAGACCCAGTAGCCTGTGATATTCCCCTAGGTGAACCACAGGCCCTTGACATTTTAGACTCCATTACTATTTTCCGCACAAAATAATAAGTAGGATCCAAAATAACAGAGTAAGAACATTTCTGGAAACTTGGGCCATTTGCAGTAAGGATCCTTGACCCTCCAAAGCAACTCTTCCAGTGGCACTTGGCAAGCCCTCTCACAACACCAGAGCCCCATCTGGTCACACTCATAGTCATGCACTGGCTTAACAGTTCACTGTGATCTCCCCTAAGGAAACGGGCTCTGAGGGAACAGGGAATGGGTCTAGCCTGTCACCACCTCATCCCAGAGTTAATATGAGTCCCTGGTACTGAGAAGGTGTATGGAGGGAAGGACAGATGGTCAGGGAGATTCACAGACAAATGCACAAATCTTGTCTTCCCACAGCTGCCCCATCTCAACTGATGATAGCTCGTTTTTCCAGTGTCTCAGGCTGGAAGCCCTGAGGTCAGCCTGGACTCTTCTTTCTCCTACATCCTATAGCCAACTGATGAGCAGATCTCAATGGAACGAACTTCTAACAAGTCCAACAGATGATCACTTTCTTGACCCCGCTCCAAGCAACCACCATCTTTGGCTAGAAGATGGCAGTGGCCCCTAATTGGTCTGTCTGCCTCTTTGGTACCCTATATTCTCCATTTCACACAACAAGAAATGATAAAAACCTTTGCAAGTATGAATGATGTCATGCTTCTTCAAAATCTTCCCATCTCTAACTAAAAGCTGAAGTGCCTTGATGATAAGCCTTACATGACCCCATAGCATTCTGCCCCCAACCCCTGACATCCTCTACCATCAGCCTCTAACTTGCTCCCCTCCAGCCATGCTGGCCTCCTACTTGGTCCTCAAACACACCCAGCACAAAGCCTCAGGGCCTTTGCACTTGTTGTTTTCGCTGCCTTGAACACTCTTCCACATATAGCAGCATGGCTCATCCCAGGAAGGTCCCTCCTAACATTTATTGAAAATTGCCTCCCTCATCTCCCTTCCTCGCTGATTCTCTGAAGGGCACTTATCACCGACTGATTGTTATATACTTTACACATTTTTTTTCTGCCACTAGGACATCAAGTCTATAAGAACAGGAACCTTTCTGGGTTTTAAGCAGTTCTGTGTCCCGAATGCCTGAAAAAAGGAAAGACCCAAGTAGAAGCTCAAGAGAAGTTCTTAATGAGCAAATGAATGGAGCAGAAGACTGTCCTATATCCTCATCAGGAACCCCTTTGAAGAATGCCCACTCCTTAATCCTCTACGGAGCTCATGAGAGGAGCCAGACTGGCAGCCCACCTTCCCAGGGACGGAGCCTCAAGCCACAGTAGCAGCAAGGGTTGGTCTGGAGGCCGAAGCCGGCCAGCCACAGCCATGCCTCCCAGGACAGCACACGCCCGCCCCACCCCCGCACTGCCGTGGCCCACTTGCTACACTTGCCATGATGCCATTGTGGATGAAGCCGCGGCGGTAGCGGGCTGGCTTCAGATGGGGGTACTCCTCTGTGCTGGTCACTCGGATGTTCCACACCTGCTTCCAGGCCTCGTACAGCTGCACATGCACGGGATACACGCCCGAGTGGTGGGGGGCCACCGCGTACCCCATGTCTGTGGGAATGCCATGCTCCTGGGAAGGGGATGACCAGGGCAGGATGAGCACGGGGGTCTTTCCCCTTTGGGTCTTATTCCCCCTTGGTAGAACATAAGAGAAAAATCAGAGGCCAAGACAGCAGGGCCGTTGGTCCAAGCCCTCCTGGCACAGATGGAGAAGCTGAGGCCTGGGAGGCAGGGGAGGGGCTCAGAATCTCTGAGTCAGAGTCGCAGGCAGAGCTGAGACTACAGCCCAGGTCTCCCAACTCTTGGTAGAGTTCAGAGGCCTCATGTACCCCACAGCGAGGGATAAGGTGGAGATCTTTCCTGCCTTCTCTTGCCTCTGGTTGGCCAGTGAACCCAGGCTGGTACCTCCCACCCCAGCTGAGAGGTAGTAGCTTGGGCCTAGGGCACACACAGCTCTGGGTTTAACTCCTGGGATGACCTCCCTGAGCCTCTGTTCCTGTCTACAAAGTGGGGCTCTTCTCTATAGAACCAGCTCCCCTGCCCTGCCCCCAGGCCCCAGTGCAGGCACACAGATGTTGGTGGGAGTCCATCGACTAAAATGCAAAAGCAATATGACAGCCAGGACCCCAGGCCCAGCCCCGAGCCCACCCAGCTCTGCCCTTTAGGGAATCTTACTCACGACAGCGAACTTCTTGTTCAGGGCCATCTGCTCCGCCAGCACCGACTGATTGTGGAAAAGGTGAGGCTGCATGTGGCTCCACATGTGGGGGAACCACCAGAACTCCTTCACATACGACAGCAGCAGGTCATCCCCAGCATCCTCAGCATCAGTACCTGCAGTCCCAGCACACAGCTCAGCCTGGCCCACAGAGCCATGAGGCCCTCCAAGCTGGCCCAGGCCTGGGATGGGCAGGCATAGCCCATCCAGAGGCTGCCATGAGCTACAGTGCAGGAGAAGATGGAGTCCCAGAGCCCTGGCTTCTGATCTAGAGTGTGTCCTTAACTCAGGAGTGACTTTGGCCAAGCTGCCTCAAGGGTTTCCTCCACCTCTGACATGTCTGCCCTGACCCTGTTCCAATAGGGAACACAGGTCATTTGTCTTCTACTGGATTGTAGAAGGGCTCTGTGTATACACAGGATGGTTAACCCCTGTCTTGTATGTATTACCACAACCACCACTGGTAGGCTGAAGATTAAGAAAAGAAAAATGCAGAGCTGAGTGTGGCAGTGCATGGCTCTGAAGCCAGCAACCAGGAGCTGAGGCAGGAGGATCACACACTCAAGGCCACCTGGACAACTCAGTAAGAGCCTGCCTCGGAACAAAATTCGCAAAGAAAGGGCTAGAGACACACCTCAGGGATAGAGGTTCTCCAGCAACACCCCAAAATGCAGAGGCCCAGCAGCATCACTCCTGTTTGTCTTGGGGGCTGTGTTGTACATCCTGCCCCCCTACCCACCCCACCCTGCGTCGTTGACCAACAAGTTCTCCTAGAATGCAGGAGAATCTGTCCTTGCTGTGACCTGAGCAGAAGACAGAAGGCAAGGCTACTACAGATGACCAGTTCAGGGGCTGTTCCCTCTTGCCTAGTCCCAGAAGAGCAGTATGGGAGGAACTTGAAAGGCTCAGAAGAGGAAGGAAGGCAGGCAGGCATGAACCAAGCGGCCTACTGCCCTCAAATTCAATCCTTTTGACTCCAAACTGAACTTAGAACTTGGTCATGCTGGGGAGGTACAAGTACAGGGTACCTTCATTTTCAATGCTACATATTTCTGTAATGTTCTTAAAATTCAACTAGTTTTTCTTACAAGCAGAAATAGCACAAATAATTTTAAAAGGATGAGGCAGGGGGAGTGGAAGGGAAGATGCACCACCTAGGACAGCACAGCCGAAGGTCAGGGAGTGAGGCATGGAAACTGTTGTCAATTTTGTCCCCAAATGCCCCTGCCTGGGACTCTCACTACTCTTGTGGCCTACTGGTCCTAGCAGACTTGCCCTTAGTATGGGCAAGCCCAGCTGCTGAGTCATGGCAGAGGACTCCAAGGTTGTGGGTGTGGACAGCCCTGGAAGTCCCAAGAGGGGGCAGGGCAGGCTTACGTACCTGTGTGGAAGAATTTCCCTGAGTATCCCAGGTTGAAGGTGAAGTTTGGGATGTGTGTGCGTAGTTCATTCTGTGTATCAAACAGGGCCTGGGACAGCAGAGGAGAAAGGAAGACAAGAGAGGAAGTCAGAAGCTCCCTTCCTTCCAGAGACCTGAGAAGTGTCCCATTCCAGCAAGACCAGCTGCAAAGCTGACAGGGCCCAATAAAAATGCAAATGCAAGGCTGTGGGTATGGCTCTGTGGTAGGGCTCCTGCTGCCACACAAGGCCCTGGGTTTGATCCCTAGCACTGTGTGAAAACTTGGGACCTTTATGCAAAAGTAACTAAGAATGAGGGGCTAACAGCAGAGCATTGCACTATGTTTGAGCCCCTTGTAGCACAGGGCTCTGCAGGACGACATGGGCTGCACACGGGGAGACTGGCCTGCACTGCCTTCACCAGGCCTCCAGCACGAAAAGACCTGGACTCCAGTCAGGCTCTGTCATGTGTCCTCAAAAAGCTTTGTGACGCCTCTAGGTCTGTTTCTTCAACTGCACAATGAAGATGGTGTCTTTCTCCCTCATGGGAGAATTAAGTGAAATGCTGTATATAAAACTGCCTGCTGGGTGCGGTGGCGCACCCCTGTAATCCCAATGGCTCAGGAGGCTGAGGCAGAAGGATCATGAGTTCAAAGCCAGCCTCAAAAACTTAGCAAAGTGCTAAGCAACTCAGTGAGACCCCGTCTCTAATAAAATATAAAATAGGACTGAGGATGTGGCTCAGTGGTCGAGTGCCCAGAGTTCAATCCCAGTACTAAAAAAAAAAAAAGAAAAAAGAACTGCCTGATGTTTGGTTAAGTGATGAAAAATGGGGGCCATCACAACATCTGTGGTCACTGCCACTGAAAGCCTCAGTATCTACATGGGAAGGCTTTCTCCCCTTTGGTGGATTGCCAGGCTGATGTCAAAGGATCATGACCTGTCCAGGGATGTGCTACGTGCCCAGCACCATGGCGTTCCCATGCCTGGCACGCGCAGCTCTCTGCAGGTCAGTCAAGGGCTGCTGGCCCTTGGGAAACAGATGTGCTGTCACACTCTAGGGCCAGGACTGCAGGGTTCACAGGCTGCCAGGAAACCTCCCAAACCCTGCTTTCAGGACATGCTGCAAAATAAAAGTCCTGGCTCTCTTAGGACAGTATTGTCACCACTTGACCAAGGCTGACACTGCCTGCTAGACATGCATGTTCCAGTCATGTGGTTTCTTCACTTCTTTGAGTCTCGGTGCCCTTCTCTGAAAAATAGGACTCAAAACAACACTCCCTTTGCCAGGCCACCGGGAGGACCAAATGAGGCAGTGCACAGAAGGGGCTGGGCACAGTGCAGCACCCACATAAACAGCTTCTGTTGGTATTTTGTCAACTGTGCTGCGGAGTTAACAAGGTGACATGTACATCTATGAAAGAAGGCCACAGTGGTCACCTGTGTTCAGATTAAAGAAGAAACTGCTCTGCCCTTTCCTACTAACAAGGATGTTTAAGGGTAATGAGACCCGCACCGGAGAAGCACTCTGCAGGTTGCTCTGAGCTGAGAGCACAGGAGAGGGCACCTCGATTTATATTCTTCCACAGAAATTGCTCCAAACTGTTATCATGCTTTTTTCACTTTATAAATGGGGTGAATAAGAAACCTAAGTACACGATCCAGAGCTCACTGGAAGACACACTGACTTCCCCATGGGCTCGACCCTGGAGCCCAGTCCTGGCCCCCAGTTTCACAGGGCTCCCCTGCACAGTAGCAAGGGCCTGGTCCGAGCAGGAGACAGCAGGGCTGGGGCATGGAAAGGGCATCCCAAGTAGGGAACAGAGCAATCTACTCTGCTAGAGGTTGGTCCACTGTGGCTGCATATGAAGATGTTTAGAGCAAAGACTCCGCAGAGGTCATCTTCAATTTTTCTTCAACAGGACAGCCCTCCAAGAAATGAAATACCAGGGAAAAACACAATCAAAGCCATGCTGCCCTGTCCAGCTCCACAGGGGGCATGGAGGATGGAGTCTGGCCATCAGAACATGACCCTCACTCCACCCAGCTCGTGGGGCACCCCTGTGAAGCCTCTGGGAGTGCTGTGAAACAGCCTAAAATCCCCTATCATTCCATCTCTTCATTTCACAGGGGAGACTCAGCGGTGGGACAGAACTGACATGTGTCACCTGGTCAACCAGGGTCACACTGGGACTCAAATTGATTTCAAATCCCTACAGGACAACCACTCCTCAACACAATCCACTCTATTCTTCTCCTTCGGGGTTATACAGAAAAGCACAAAGTGTACTCCTGACCAAGAAAAGGGCACAGACCCTACTAGGGTCCATCCTTGCAGACCCCGGGCCACCCTAGCAGAGATTTCAGGTGGACAGAGAACACAGCTCACCAGGCAGATCTGTTCAGGGAGAGTTGTGAGCCTCTCATAGGTCTCTTTAAAGCCTCCTGGGAGCATCAAAGAGAGCCCTGGTTTGGTGCTAATATGTTTCTAACACTCGCTAATCTCCTGTGAGAGAGGACACCGGTCAGCAGGCAGCCGCATCTCTCAGAATTTAATCCCCTGTTTTGTTTTCATTGGATTTATTGTTATCGTGCTCTCCACTCCCAGCAACCGACTCTGATTCCCGTTCACACTAGGATGTCGTCTCCTTTGCAAGTAACCTGAAAACTGCATTTTAAGACTGTTTAGTGGTCTTAATTCGTAGGCTTCTCCTTCACGGTGACAGCTCACATGTATAAAATCTTGTGGTTTGCAAAAGTGTCTTCACACACCGCTCTGTTGGGTAAACACTTTTGGAATTCAATGCATGCATTCACTCTCTCCATAGACCTAAGTTAAAATATGCCATATGGTAATCTGAGCTCTCCATTTTTGTTTTAAGAATTTTATGGGCACTCTGATGTTGACACAAACATTTTTAAGCGTTTACAATCATATCTAGATGAAAAGGCAGATGGCTGCCATTGCGGTTCCCACTTTCATGTTCTGATGACTGGATCTCTTCCTCCACACACAACTCTGCACTAAGATGCAAAGGTCTTCTGTGTCTGCCAAGCGCAGTGGCACATGCCTGTAATCCCAGCAGCTCAGGAGGCTGAGGCAGGAAGATTTCGAGTTCAAAGCCAGCCTCAGCAACTTAGCAAGGCCCTAAGCAATTCAGTGAGATCTTGTCTCTAGATAATGGCACTTGCTTTGAACACAAGAATTAATATAAACTTAGTGGTGGGGTCGGGGGACTTTATTTTGAATAACAGCACAGGGGAAGTGCAGGTAGGGAGTCACACGGGAGCCACAAGGATTGGAATCCGCGAGGCCCGCCTTACCTTCACGTCCTCCACCTTCATGCGTGTTCCCTCCTTGCCCACGAAGATATCGTCGATGTCCACCAGGATGTAGCGGTCCAGAGGCAGCGAGAGGCGCTTACCCGTGAGGAAGGCCACAGCATCAACGAAGACCAGCTTGTGCAGCCAGAAGTTGAGGTTGTTGCCAAACAGCACACGCTGGATGCCGTCGTGGAGGCCCAGGTCCTGGACCACCGTGGCGTGCAGTGCAGCATGCAGGCCCGCATCAGCTCCCAGGTGCGGAATGGACTCAGACGAGCGTGTCTTGGCCAGAAGCACAGGCTCATAGGTGGAATGGTTGGACTGGAACACCGTCCAGTCCTCGCCAGGCAGCACGCCCTTCTCCACCTCGCTGGGCCGTGTCACGTAGAGCAGTGGGGATTTGGGGTTGATGCTGCAGTCCTTCAGGCCCAGGTTAGAGTGCAGGAACAGGGGGAAGCCCTTGAGCTGTGCGCTCAGCAGGCTGTTCTCATTGGCCTACAGCCGGGCAGGGGGGAAGGGGAACCGCTGTCAGATCTGGAACTCCAAGGGACGTGGAACTCAGATATGCACCCCAAACTGTAACATCAACAATATTCATAACATTCACGGGCAGGCTCGCCATGCCCCGGCTCAACTGTCTACCCTCTCCTCTGTCTACAACAGAACACTAGTGAACACTTCTGATTCACTTACCAAAACTAGGCAGGGGGTCCGTGAACTGTGCACGCTGGAATGCCGCTAATCCTCCCAGTGACCCCACAGTGGAGGTGCTGTCAGACCAGACCATTTTATACATAAAGAAATGGAGGCCCAGAAAAGCCAAATCACCAGGGGAAAGTCCAGCAGTTGAGAGCATGGACTCTGCTACCAAACTGCCTGGCCTTGGCCAGTTATGACTCTTCTCCAGGCCAGAGAAGAGGAACTGTCTGTGGGGGGAAGCAAACACACTCTGCTACACAGCACTCCCAACCTCCCTTATACCGGCAGCACCCCTGAGGCCACCCTCTTATAGCAGTCCAGCTCCCATGCCCACCAATCTCTGCCAGCGTGGTGAGGTTTCTGGGGCTACCCAGCTCCCTGGGGGTCTACAGACAGCCACATCACTCCATCACCTCCTCCCTAGCCCATGGCTCCTGTTTCATCATGGTACATGCTACAAAGAGGAGATTCACAGTTATAGACAAGCGGCACAGTCAGCTGGCTCAGAGAGCCTTCCAGAGAAAGGGATTTCTGAGGTAATATTTAAAGAAAGAGTTATCAACTAGGGGAAAGGTGGGAGCCACGTCCCCAGGAAAGTGCAAAGTGCAAAAGCCCTGGGGCAGTAGAGGTTCAATCAAGAGGGAGAGGAGGAGATGAGGCCGAATGTTCTGCTGAGGCCAGACCTGAAGGACCCTGGAGGCTAGAAAGAGCAGCAGAAGTCAACAAAGACCACATCAAACAGTATCCACAGGGATGACAGGTTCCAATCTATCTTGAAAAGGTCTATATGACTGTCTTGTGGAGAATGAGTGTGGAGAAAGAGTGGGGTCGGGCAAACCATGAGTGAACAAAAAGTATATGAAGAATTTGGGGAGGGAGACAGACTCATGTTCAGGTGGTATCAGGGCTGCACGGGTGGGCACCAATCTGGGCACACAGCCAAGCAGTGAGTCCCAGCTGAGCCCTGTGCCCCAGTGTGAAACCATGCCTACCCAGAAGGGTGCCCTGCACTGGTCTCCTCCATAGACACTGCTTTTTTCCCATTTCTACAACAGTTCTTTGGGACCCTGGCCTTGTAAACCGCGATAAAGAGCCTATACTGGTTGCTCCACACACAGGGATAGCTGCCAACTCCACCCTGCAGCACCCTGAGCCAGCCGCAGAGGTGGCCCCATGCTAAGCCCCATCAAGCCCCGTCCTCAGAAGCTACCTTCCCCAGCTCCGGGCTCCCCACAGCCCAAGTCAGCACTGGCCAAGGATGTAACTGCTTCAGCTATGTGGGGGCCAGAGACCCTGTTCATATGTGCCAAGGCCTGGGAAGCCACACAGGACACGAGGGCTGAGGATCCCATTTCAAAGTCCCGACCCTGAGCTGACTGCCAGGTGCTGGCAGCTCAGCCCACTGCCCAGAGAGAGAGAGAGAAAGCCAAGTTGCTGATAGCTGACCCTGGTCGGCAATGACAGGAACCTGCCAGAGAAGGGAACAAAGTGGCTGGCCTGGCACTGCCGCCTGGCCCCACTTCAGGCTGCACCCCCAGGAGTAAAAGCTTCTGTTCCTCAGCTCTGAGGACCCTCTCAGGAGACACTAGCTCTTCCAATGGGGTCACCCAGGCACAGGAAGGAAGAGCCCTGAGCCAGGGATGGGAAGGCAGAGGCCTCACAGACTTAAGTATTAACTGGCTAGTGCCCTGGGGACCCCAAGTCCCCTCTCTGGGCTCAGATCCCCCATTAGCCAGTTTCTTCTTACATGGTATCCCGTGGTCAGATTAGAAGCAACAAGCTTAGTTGTCAAATCCTGGCTCTACGACTTACTAGCTATGTTGCTCTGGTAAAGCTATTTAACTTTTTCAGCCTCAGGTTCTTATCTGAAAATAAAGTGCCCACTTCACAAGGCAGCTGTGAAAATTAAACATGATAATGCCTGAGAAGCAATGAGCTCAGTGTCTGGAACATGTAAGTGCTTAATCCAAGAGGCCAGGTAGCCCCTGCCAGGCCTCTGCCAGGTGTGTTCAGGGCCAGAGCATCTGGAGTCACAAAGATGGGGCAAGACAGTGCCAGGAACTAGGGCTACAGAGGAGGAAACTGGACTCCACCCTCCAGGACCTCACAGGAGCACACTGGCCAAAGCCACAAGACAATGCCACCACTACTACGTTGGCTGAACTTAGAATGACAAAACAAGAGAGCCACCATTTATTTTGTGGCTCTGGGTCCCAGGCAGAGTGCTCAGTGCTTCCCGCCCATTGTCTTGTTTTATCTCCAACACAGACCAGCGAGGCAGGAGCTATAATTAGTCCCACTTTACAAATGGATTGAGCATCCTGCCCAAGGTCACTCTGCTTTTAAGTGCCAGAAAGATTTAACCCAGGACATGGAGCTTTAAGTCCCTGCTCTCACACTGCCCTAGAGTCCAGCCTTGGTGGGAACAGAAGCACAAGCATCTCCAGAGCCCCACAGTCCACAGGCTGCTCAGGGCTTGACAAGTCCAAGGCACAGAGCTGAAGCCCCCCTTGCAGAAAGGGCCAAGAGATGTGCCTCGACTACCAGGGGGCACGAGTTTGAGCTGAAAAATCACAGGCCTGTCATATGCACTTGTCATGTGCAATAATGTAGGAAGAGTAAGAAAACCTAGAACTGCCACTGACTCCGCAGTGGGACGCTACACAAACCCCTTCCTGGGCCTCACGTTCCCCTTCTGTAAAGCAAGGAACCGCAGGTAGACAGGGTACAAACTCTGCTGCACCAGCTGTACCCAATGTTCTGTGCCCACTGCCTGGTAGTGAGCCTGAGAGCTCTGTGCACTGCACATGGCCTCTGATGCAGACTTCTACTAAATAAACGGTAGCGGGACTCCTGGACTTGCCACACCGTCGTTAAGGCCAAGGCCTCTGGAGCTGGACTGCTGGGCTTCAAATCCTAGAGAATACTAACTGGAGGTGTGAGCTTGGGCACTTTTCTTAATCTCTTTGCCTCAGTTTCCTTCTCTCTTAAATAAGGACATTATCTGCCTGCCTGGGTAGATGGTTTATCAGAGTGCAGCGAGTTCATTTACGAGGAGCATGTGGGCAGTGCACTGCTCCAAGCAGGCGCTCGATAAATGTCAGCCATTCTGATGATTTTCAGGCCTGGGGCTCTGAATCAAACTTAATGAAGTTCATGGCAGGAAAGGGTACAGAGTCCAGGAGAAAAGGCAAAAAACACAGACAATGCAGACAGTCTGACTTTGTGCTTCTGTAAAGCCATAAACCAGGCCAGTGCTCCCCAGAGGGTGCTCTGTGAACGAGCTCAAGCCAGCAGGGGATGAATCTCACCGGCTCGCTCTGCAGCAGGACTTCTAAGGGCCTTGCGTTTCGGGGCTCACAATGCCTTTTCAGTGGCAGAGCCTCCTGCTGTATTAGTGCATGAAAGAACATGCCATGGGAAACGCTCAGCCAGACCAGTCCTCCCGCACTGAGGGTAGGCCCAGAACACAATGCGCCAGGGAGGCCTGGGACACAGCCACCTCTGATCATCTCCTACGCCTCCCCTCCTGACTCACGCCAAGCAAGAGCCTGCATAGGACCCGTGCACTTACCGTCCCTTCCTTCAGAAGGGCTCTTCGCACTGAAAGCCACCCAGAGCCTTCCCTCACTTCCCACAGTTGGTTTTACCAAAGATGACCTCTCTGGCCTACTATGAGAGCGCTGCCAACCGCCCACACCAGGACCCTCTGGGCTGCTCTGCGCTCTGCTCCTGGTGCACTTCTCACTGCCACATGCTAAGTGTGTTTGCCCAGTACCAGCCCCCCACCCATTTCTACTGCGCTAGTACGTCAGCTCCCTGGAGCAGGGGCTTTGTCCATTCCCATGACCACTCTGTCCAGCGCCTAGCACAGGACTCAGAACGCTGAAGTGGCTGGTACCTATTTGCTCAATGAAGAAGCAAATGTCCCCCAAAGCACCCAACCAGAGTCCTGTCAGCGTCTCTCTTCATCTTGCCTGACCACACCCTTGGAACCTGCATCCACTGCTCCCAACCTCCCCTTCCCAGGGTAGATTCTCCTTCTCAGCAAGGATCCCAGTCTTAGTGGTCATTTTGAGAGCTCCATCAAAACCAGAATAGATCCCTACCCACCCACCCATCCATTGGGATTTCTTTCTCCTATCTCCCAATGCAAAACAGCTCTGGTCTGGCAGGTGCATAAATTCCACACTCCACTGCAGCCAGGAGTAAAGAGCAAGAGATAGAGCCCAAGTTGCCCAAGTATGGGTTCCAATCTCAGCTCCCCACTTAGACTGAGAGCCTCAAATAGGTAACCCAACTCCTCAAGCCTTGATTTTCTCATCTGCAAAATGGGAACAAGTCGCCTCCATTGGGAGGATTGCCATGACAGGTTTCAGAGTCCCAAGCAGAAAATGCTCTCTCCAACCCTGCACCCATTCCCAGGGATTTTCCAGGGCAAATGCCTTCTATGTACTGAATCCACTGTGTGTCAGGAAGTCCCCCTGCCAAGCACCCCTAAAACGCATAAAGTACACACTGGGCACAAGGCCTGCTCCCACCTAAGCTTCATGACAAGCCTGGGAGTAGATATGACCACTACATGCATTTTACAAATGAGAAAAGTCCAGTGCTCTGCTAGTGAGCACAGAGATCAAGGCGGGAAGGGCTCAGGGACCTGCTCTCTGCCTACCTTAAAGAAGCCAATGATGCCCACGCCGTAAGCCACACAGTACTTGTCCAGCAGCTCGCGGTTCCAGGCATCCAAATTGACGTACTTGAGGATGTTCTCATAGATGATGAGGGCGAAGCGGCCACGGCCCTTGTCAGTGAGTGTGGGCATGTCCCCCTTGCCTGGTGCAATCTCGGTGCGATACTTGAAGCGGCTAGACTCCAGGATGGCCACGACCTCCTGACCCAGCTGTGAGTAGAGACTCTCCACAAACACCAGCACCAGCGGGTCGGTGCGGGAAGGGGTGACCACCTGCACAGGCTTGAGGGGCAGCAGGCGGCTGGGGGCCACAGGTGGTGGGTCCCCACAGTCAGACTCAGGGGCATCTGCAGAGGGCTCCAGACCCCGCTTCCAGCCATATAGGTAGTAGGCCGAGACAAAAACACTGAACAGGCAGAAGATGAACAGCAGGAAAAGGACAGCTTGGGGGGACACATGCCGACACAATCTCCGGAGGCATGCCAGGGCAGGCATCCTGGCCCCCAAGACCTTGGCCACCGGAGGTCTGCCCTGCCCTGGCCACCCCAAGGCCCCACGCAGGAGACACGAGAGTTGCTGACCGACCAAGAAATTCACAGAGACTTAGGAGGCAAGGCCCTCAGTGGGCAGCAGGAGTGGAGGATCCGGGTCCCCAGCCCTTCCTCCCAGCCAGGGGCGCAGTCTAGAGGCTGGTCTCGCTCCTTCCTTCCTCTGCGCCCCTTTATGTCACCATGGCAAACCCCCACTTGGTCCTGCACAGAGCAGAAGTGCCCCAGGGCGTCAGGGCCTCCTTTGGGGGCTGGGCAGCAGGCCAGAGGACACTAGGCTGGCCCAGGGGTGTCGCATGCTGCTCCCTTGGTAGGGCCCACGGGGCCGAGGCTGTGGAGAGAAGAGGAATCCATCAGTCACACAGGTCCTGACAAGGTCATCATAGTTTGAGTTTTGCTGCCAAACCTGGTGGAAAAAATGAGACAACGGAGCTGTTTAGCTTCTCTGGGCCTCTGTTTCCCCGTGTGTGAAATGGGCAGACAGTAAGCAGCACCCATCTCACAAGGGGTTGCAGATATGAAGTCCAATGATATATATATAAATCACATAAAGCAGTACTTAATGCACGGTGTCTATAATAGTAACTGTTCTTTTTCATCATTATCAGAGTCTAAGACCGGGCCAAGAAAAATTCAGAAGCAGAAAGAACAAAGTGAATCATTGAACAGTTGCAAAATGTAAGAGCAAGTGGTAGGACTCTAACCAGAACCTTCCCTTCTCTTCCCCTCCCTTCCCCACCCATTTCTCCGAGTGACCACAGCAGCCCATGCAGCAGATGACAAGACTGTCTCCAGCAGAAGCAGCCACAGCAGGATTCAGGCAGGGATGTGGGGGTCCCATGCCTTGGTGGTGCCAGAGGCCCAGGTGAATCACTGCACCTCTCAAGCACCAGCAAGCTCATCTGAGTAAACGTGTCCACGGGACTTGACACAGGACACACTCAGAAAGGGCAGCTGTCACCACGTGCTCCTAATGCAGCCACGCGTCCCTCGCCCTAGGGATACAGGCTAACAGTGCTCACCATGACTCTGGACACCAGATGACCACATCCCCTGCCTGGGGATCCCAGGTTGCCAGGAGACAGGAGGCTTCCCCCACACTGGTCTGTGTACCCAGACAGCCAGAACCTGGGGTTCCAGCCTCCTCCTCCTCCAGCCTGAAATGCTCACCCCGGCCACCTCACTGCCCCATTTCAGTGGGAAGAAAGAGTACACAAAGACCCACACACATTGTGCAAAGACGACAATTCCCTTGCCCCAACAGCAATCCCAACACAGCCCTCTGGTGTCCCCTGAACACGAGTGGAAGCCTCCAAGAAGAGTGAGATTTCCTAGTGATTCAAGGAGCTACTTTCTATCAGCCACACTTACTAAGAGGCGGCAGGAGATGACGCCAAGCCAGAAAGCAAGTGTGAGAGCCTGGGCTGAGGCAGTCAGTGAGGGAACTGGAGTCCCAGGCGTGGCCTTGAGGGTGAAGGCCTTTGAAGTCCCTCCCAGCCCCAGACTATATGCTGTGTTTGCAGGGATCCTGCCTACGAGAGACCCAACAGTTGCACTTCTAGGATAAATTCCTAGAAGTAGTAACTGCAGGAGCGTGTGAAGATTTCTCCACAAGAATACAAATCCCAGGGCTGTTTATAATGGCAATTGCTCAATAATGGGGGACTGTCATTATAGAAACTATAATGCAAGCATGTGACAGAATCCTAGGCAGCCATTTATAGTATCTCCAAGAAAGACATTTACTGACATTTACCATATATATTGTTGAAGTGGGAAACATTTATAAAACAGTTTGTATGTGTGGTCATATTTTTGTTAAATATTTTTATGCATAGGCTAGAAACTGGTACTAAGTGTAAAAGAAAAAAAAAGAAAAAAACAAAAAAAAACCTTAACAGTAATTACCTCTGGGTAAGAGTCATTTTCTGCTTTTTTGTCTGTGAAATGGAGAGAAGAGGGGGCAGCAAGTTTGGCCCCAGCTGTGCCAGGACACACTGTGAGATGCCCAGCACACCCTATCCCTCTCTGGGCTTCCTGCCTCTTAGAGGGAGCTCGGGTCAGATGGTTTCTGGGGTTCTCCCACCTCTGCTGCTCTACACTGTAGTCCTCACTATGTGTCAGCACCGTGGGGAACCTGAGGCACCAGGAAAGCAGGTATCCATGATGTGGCGGGACGGGTGTGGTAGCAGGGACAAGGAAAGGCATTTGGGAGACCAGAGGGGTACTTAACCTCTCCAGAGAGGGAGAGCAGGACCAGGGAAAAATTTCTGGAGGCACCAGAACTGGCCAGAACAAGGGCAGGCTGGCCAGGGACATGGAGAAAGAATGGCCTTCACTGCAACCTGAAGATAAGGGACTGTGTGTACTTTCTAGGAGACTCCGTGCAATTCTCGGTGAGAGCAAGGCAAGAAAGGGCAGGTATTCTAGGCAGAGCCAGGAAGGCTGCAGTGGCTAGTCCTGTTCATGCCCAGAGTGCACTAGTGTTCCATTTACCACTGATGAGGACCACCTGCAGTCGCAGCCAAGCCCCCGACCTTTGGCCTATGGCCAAGGCAGAGGCAGAGTGGGGTTGGAAGGCAGGATGCCCTGATGGTGCCCTGCCCACGCAGAAGTCCAACCCACGATAGAGGAAGAGAGGCTGAGCCATGGCCACTGACCCTCCAGCATATTAACAGCCTCTCAGCAAGTTAATGATGCAGTTCACAGAATCTCAGGCATCTGGGGGTCATGGACCCTTGTGGGAATCTGGCAATATTTCTCAGATATTAAAAAATATGCACATTTTAAAAATGAACGTGGCTGCCAGGGGTTAGGGGTGGAGAGATGAGTGGGGAGCGCAGAGGGCTGTTAAGCCACTCTGGAGGATGCTGGGTGATGGGTACGTGTCATCATGCACTTGTCTAAGCCCATGGAATGCACAACATCAAGAGCAAACCCTACTGTCCACTAAGAGAGCTGGGTGACAGTGACATGTCCATGTGGTTCATCAAATGTAGCAAGGGGGCCACTCTGTAGTGGATGCTGATGCTGCCTGCCCTGCACTTGGAGAGGTCTTCCTTGCAGCCCCCAAGTGGCCCCTGCTTCCTCCTCTCACTGCACACCTGAGAAGAATGCCTGTCCTTGGCGGCCTTGGCCTTTCCAGGGAGGCTGGGATAAGGCCATTGCAAAACCCAGGCCAGAGAGGGCAAAAGAAGCCCTGCCTCTGGAGAAAGCCAAGTGCCCTGGGCCTGACGCGAGCCAGCTGCCTTGTAAACAAAGTGTCGACCACCCAGCGTGCTGGCAGGGGCCTCGCACGGCCTCACCATCCGCTCAGAGGCCCACAGCCAGCCAGAAAGCTCTCCTCCCAGTCCACCCGGAGTTATGGAGTCCCGTGACTCTGAGGTAAAGTCCGGGGGGGCATCTCATCCCCCTGGCCGCCAAGGCCTCAAGGAGAGCTGGGGCTGGGACCTCAACGCCCGCCTAACACACAGGTCACACACCCTCACCACCCTTCCCCTAACCACAGCTGGGCCCAGCCCACCACCCAGCCTAGTCAAGCATCCAGGCCTTTGCTGGTGAAGTTCCCATGGCCAGGAATGCCTCCTCCAGCCGCATGGGACACTTACTCATCCTTCACCACCCAGTTCCAATGTCACCACCTCTCTGAAGTCATGTCCAGCCCCCACCTACCCCACTTACCATGAGAGGCTGGGAACCAGGACCCTTGGGCCTAAACAGAATGCAGATGTGTGGTCTTTGGCTTGCACAGTGTTTTTCTTTAATTTGGGATTAGTTATCAACATTTTTAAAAAATTTTTTTGTACTTATAGATGAACAGAATGCCTTTTTTTGTTTTTTATATGGTGCTGAGAATCGAACCCAGTGCCTCATGCATGCTAGGCGAGCGCTCTGCTACTGAGCTATAGCCCCAGCCCTAGTTATCAACATTTTAAAGTCAGGAGATTTCATAGAACTTCTCTTTTAAAACATCACGTTCTAGTGACACTGAGCACACATCGCAACCAGCCACCATCCGCCGAGGCACGTGCGGTGCCCTCCTCAAGGGCCATGCACCCTGCGGTCAGCACAGTCACCAGCCAACCTCCTGCTCTCACTGCCTCCTGCCAGTGTCTGGGGCACCAGAGCTTGTGATCTGTGCAGAGCAGGGGTAGCAATTTTACACCACCCTGCCCCTGTACTTGCACACCCACAGGGCAGGCCCAGCACCTACCCCTGCACAGATGGGCCCTGCCCAGCACCTGGTATACAGAGGCCCTGGGCAAACAACTTTTGCTTTCTTCCCTCTCCCCCAAGCCTTGGGTGCCACTCAAGGACAGGAACCAAATCTGGTTCATCATGGAAGCTTCCACTTACCCTAGAGCCAGGTCCTTATTGAGGACTCGGGATGTGAATGAAGTAGTAGCTGTTGTTACTCCCAATTTCCAGATAAGGAGAAGAAAGCTCCAAGGTAAAGTGACTTGCCACGGTCACATGGAATCAGCTAAATCTTGATTCAAACAGGTTTCCTTTCTGATTTTGAGTTTGGTCTTTTATTCCTCCATGACACTCAGGAGTTTCTATAATAAAATAACAACAGTGCCATTATAACTATCATCATTATTAATACTGACATCATACCTGATCATTAACTATGAGCCTGACACTATGCTATGTATTTTTCACACCTTATCTCTTTCCTTACAACTTATATTGCCATTATCTACATCTACAGCTAAGGAAAATGAGACCCAGAGAAGTTAAGTCATTTGTCCAAGATCACACAGAGCTTAAATTTAAGCAAGCCCAGACTCCATGAAAGGGAGCACTCCAGAGACTATGAGAGACCTTAGCTGGGGAGTATGAGGGGGACCTTAGCTACCAAGGCCTCCAGGCCTTGGTCAGGCTCCCACTGTGCTCTCCCAGCCCTAGCCCCAGCTTTCCCTGCCAAGGTGCTGGGGATAATGAATGAGATGCTCTGGTTGTCATGGAGACACCATGGCAACACTGCACTTTCAGGAAATACCACAGTAACTGTGGCCACTGCTCTAAGAGTTGAAAGTCATTCCTTACCCCACCTCCCTACCCAAAAGTGTTCTGGTCCTCACAGTCCTCCTAAGGATCCCTAAGGGAAGGGAGCCTCTTTTTTTTTTTTTTAATGTGAATTTTTTTAGTTGTAGGTGGATAATACCTTTATCTCATTTTTATGTGGTGCTGAGGATTGAACCTAACGCCTTGCGCATGCCAGGCAAGCACCCTACCACTGAGCCCCAGCCAGAGCCCGGAAGAGAGCCTTTTTACAGATCAAGCAGGGAAGGGGTCCTGGCTCGGGCCCTGGACGATTGGGTGGGCTCCAGTGGGGAGACAAGAGCTCCCTGAGAGCAGGCACAGACACTGAGCTAGCTTAGCCTCTGATGGTGAGGTGTGTCCAATAGCTCAATTCATGTGTGTTTGGCGCCTACTGCATGCCACCAGTCCCTAGGGAAAAGCTGTGTGCTCATCCCATTTCACCCTAACAGCCTGAAAAATGGAGTGCGTGGTCGCTAGCAATTCAGTAAGGTTTAGTCCAGAGCCAGCTGCCGGAAGTGGAATCTCAGCTCCATTTTCTATCAGTCTGTGACTTTGGCACAATTCTTTCATCATCTCTGAGACTACAAAATAGGGTTTGTACTATTATCTATCTTGAGGGGCAGTTGCCACAACTAAGAGAGATGATACGTGTATAATGCTCAGTTGAGTGCCTGGCACATGATAGATAATACAGGCTAATAAACTGACTGTCCATTCAACAGATTTGAAAACTGAGGCTCAGGAAGGCACTGGCCCAAGGCCACATATCAAAATTAGAGTGGACCCAAAAAGAGAAGATAGCAAGTCAGGCCAGAAGAAAGGAGAAAGAGAATAGGCTCCAGGAAGAAGCATCAGATGGGATATCACCCTGGGAGCTAGGAATGATGATGGTTCCCTGCTCCCTGGGTCTGTATATAAGGTGCTGAGCACAGTCTCAGGCACTGAAAAGGAAGTGGTAACTCAGACCCTCAAACTAGGATTTCTAAAGGCCCCTTGGGCATCTTGTGTGATGCTGCTGCCGGCCAAATGGGGACAGGTCCCTGCAGCCCCCAGGGCTCACCCACCACACAGTGTATTTGCAGCCTGGCCCCTTCCCACACACCCGCCTAACTCACTTGCACATGAATGCACGAGCAAACGCACACAGTACTGACATGCCCGAAAGGTGCCATCATGGGCATCCCAGCCACGTGGACACTGGGAGGAGGGAGAGGAAGCTGAGAAGAGGTCAGTGTGGGAAGAAACTGCAGGCAGGCTCAAAAGTGAGTGAATGGGAGAAGCTGGGGGTGGCAAGCTGGCAGACTGGGCAACTTAGCCAGACCCTCTCTGGAAACACACATACGTGAATGGGTACCAGAGCTGGGGCATGACTGGGGCAGGGGAAGGTAGTGTGGCTGCAGGCCAGGAACTGATAGCTCCACACCCTACACTCACCCAGAGCCACACCCCACAGCTGCCCCAGCCCCTCCCAGCCTGTCACACCCCCAGCACAGTCATACCACCACCCACAGCCCAGCCCCACCCCAAGCCACCCAGCTCCACCAACCATCCTGACAAGACCAACCCCACCCATCACATCCAGTGCAGAGAAGAAAATCCTTCACATTTGCTTCCCAGCTGTGCAGGAGTTTCTCGGGGGCAATTACACCCCTGGGAGGCAGAAACCAGAAGCAAATCCCTTCCTCTGCTGGAATCTGCCGCCTGCTGCGTGCCCCATCCCCCACCACCCCTGCAGTGCTGCCTGGCCAGGGGCCAAGTTGCTGCCTGTCAGTCACCCCACCACTACCAGGGCTGCCACCAGCAGGGAATGTCAGTGATCTGGCTCAGAATCACAGGGCCACAGAAAGCAAAGTCCACCCTGCAGTGGGCACTCAGGGACACTAAGGCCAGAGGAAAGGGAAAGGACCCTGGTGTTGCACCAGCCAGCACTGCCTCACTCCCACCTACCTTGGCCCCTTTTCTTGTCCATTAAAACCCTGTCCATCCTCCTCCAAGGCCAGTTTCAGCTGAGAATCAGATTTTGCTCATTGTGGATTTCAAAAGTCCTGTTGAGCTCCTTCTGCCTCCCCGCTCCCCCATGCCATGCCCAGCTCAGCTGCTTCCCAACTAGAACACCACCTCCCAACTCCAGAAAAGCTTCCTCCCAAGGCAAAGAAGCCTCCTACAAAGTAGGTGCTAGATCCGTGTGCCCTTGACAATCACCTTCCCCTTTATGAATCTACCACAAGAAGAATGAAATCCTAATTAGAATAAGTTATAGTCCATGTATGTATGTGTCAAAATATACTCTACTGTCAAGTATATCTAAAAAGAATTTAAAAATAAAATAAATGAATCTGCTACAGAGAATCTCTAAGCTAAATGCATTACTAATAGTAATGTGCATTTCTAGACCTTTTGTGTCCATAACACATGCTTATTTCATGATTATTTCTTCCCTACAGCAGCACCCTGACCTAGATCCCCCTTGTTTCACAGATGATAAACTGAGGCCAGAGAGGTCCAGAGCACTGACGAGTAATGGGTCACTAGGAAATACAGCTAGAAGCCTGGGCTCTCTCAGCTCCTGGCCCCTCTGTTCACCTGGCACAGCAAGCGCTTGCCAGGTGCCCTGCACATCCCATTCTCTGCTTCCTTTGACTAGTTCCCTTCATGGTTTTGTTTCCGTCCATTCTGTCTCTGTTTCAACTTCACAAGCAGCAGCTAATGATCCCTCCTGGAAACAACCGGACCAACCTGCATCAATCAGTGAGCACACACAGCACGAGGCGCAGGTTCACTCCCTGGTTCTCAGCTTGGGACTCTGTCTGGGTTCCCTGGCAGGCAGGGAGGCCCCAGAGAAAAACCTCAGGAACTTAGACCCCACTTGTTGGGAATCTGTCTTTCCTCCCACAGGATCTGAGTTGAGAGCTTACCTTTGTACCTGCTATGAAGAAAAGGTTTACCAGGCAAACAAACCAGATGGCCTGGGGGAGGGTGTGAGGGACAAGGCAGCCCGGGGCCACTGCCCAGGACCAGCTCCCTCCAGTCCTGCTCTCTGCAGACTAAGGCCAACAGAAAAGGATAGTAATTGCCCACAAAGCTTCTGTAAAAAGGGCTCTGCCCACTCCTCAAGTCTGTCTAGGACAGTCTGATCCATCCCCAGATTTTTTTGTCTTAGGTTCTGATCAGAGACACTCAAAAGGAAAAGAGCACTTCCTTACCAATGTCACAACCTCCCTCTTTGACAGCAGCCAACGTGGACTGAGCTCCTGCTCACTCCCTAGGGCTGGGCTCACTTCCCCACCATAAACCTCGCACCCTGAGAGGGTGCCTCTGGGCATCACTCCACAAACAGAGGCTGAAGAGGGGAAGCTACTGACTCAAAACATGGCTAGGCAGAGATGGAGCTAGAGTGGCCCCTCCCAGCCCACCTTGGAGCCCCTACAGGATCCTGATGCCCATACTCCACAGCCTCCTGCAGGGGGCCAGTCCAAGGGCTGCTGAGCCAGCTTCTCTAGTAATAGTGAGCTTCAACCCTGGGGAAAGTTGCACAGGTAGTGGGAGGCCATGGTCTCCAGAAAGGTTCACACCTTCTCCTGCTCAGGGGCCCCACATGGGAAAAGGGAGCTGCCTGCATGCCCCAGTCAGCAGCCTCCTCCCTCAAGAGGAGAAAAGAAGGAGTGAGGGTCATAGCAGGCAATCTCAGCTATAGGACAACACGAGGGACAATAATGACCATCACATCTCCCGGACTTTGTACAAGTCAGGACTCATACCAAGCACTTCCAATCATTGCCTCAGTTATTTGTCGTTTATTCCCAATGAAGTAAAAATAACTTTGGACCTTGGGCTTCTCCCCTGTCCACCCCCCTGGCAGAGGAGCTGGGAACTGGTGTCCCCCTACCCTCCCACATGCCCAGCTCCAGGCTGCCAGGCATCCAGAGTCTGAGCAGCAGATTTACTAAGGGGCCAGTTCATGGATCTGGGAGCCACACTCTGTGTACAATTCACATCAAAGTCCCCACTTCTCCCAGGCTCTGAATATTCAAGAGCTAGAGATGAGATGCTAGTGCCCCCGACCCACAGTGAGTCAGGCTCCCCCAGCCCTGGAGGCTGGGAGCTAAGGACAGAGTGCTGGCAGAAAAGAGGAGACAACTCAGCACCTCCAACACTCTCTGTGAGTCCCTGGGAAGTCCCTTCCCTTCTCGGAGCCTTTGCTTCCTCAACTACACAAAGAGATGTGTGGATCAGATCAGAAGATTTCACCTTTAGGGGATTACAGAACCTTTTGAGAAGCTAATGACAGCTGCTAGCAGATTCTCTCCTCAGACACACATATTCAGATGAACCTACGGCAATAGCCAATTTATGAACACGGAAACTCTGCAGGGGTACCTTGTCCTGTCTAGTCCAAGAGAACCAAGAATTTCTGCAGGGGTGCCTTGTCTTTGACAAGTCCCAGCTCTCATGATCTAAACAAGACTGAAGTCACAAATATCACATCCTAGCACCTTGGGGCTCACCTTTC